GTAAGCTACTCATTTTGTACACACAGAAGGAGGTTCTGCTCCCATTTACACAGGTGTAAATCTGGAGTAACACCATTCACTTTTGTAGAGTTATTCTAGCTTTAATGTGGTGTAAATATGGGCAGAATTTGTCTCGGTGGCACTACAGTCCCAGTCCTGCAGTTTACCTAGCTGGCATTGTATTGCGATTCTTTAACATCAGCGGGAGTTTTGCTTGACTAATGTAGTGCAGAATAGAACCCTGTGTCAGTGATTTCCTTATCTAGACATTTTATCGTCTTAGGCCTGGGCTACACACACAAGTTGTATCACTTTAACCATAATGGAATAGTTAAAGCAGTGCAACTCCCAAGTGTGGACACAGTTATACCGCTCTAAGGGTGATTATGTCAATGTCATAGCTATTCCCATGTGGGAAGGAGAATAAGCTATATACTAAAATAAGGCACTTTTATACTGTTTCAACTCTTAGTGTGAACACGGTTGTACTGATATAATTATGAGTGTAAAAATCATACCCCTTACAGGTGTTCTACCAGCTCTAAAAATGTGTGTAGACCCCGCCATTTATCTGTATTAACCCTGTAACAAGTACACAAGAGCAGGAGGGGAGAGAGGAAAAAATCATGGATTCAAAGATTTTTTAAGGCCAGAAGGGCCCATCTGATCATCTATTCTGACTTCTTGTATCACACAGGCCTTAGAATTTCAGCCCATTATCCCTGTGTTGAGCCCTGTAACTGGAAAAAAATAAGCTTCCTGCAAACAGACAGGAAATTAACGTGACAGTTGTAATAATGTTTGGTGATATTGGAAATACAAATGTCTGTGGCTTTGTCTGAGGGTGCAGCAACATCATGAAGAGATTATGCAAAGTTGTATGCACAAAGGGAAACTGGGAGACTATTCCTTTGTAACTGACGTGGATTACACTTCAGATAATGAGACAGGCAGTTTAAGGGCAGACTCAGGTGCCCAGACCCCATTGACTTTCACTGGGAATTTCATACCTAGTCTTTGGAAAATATCTTCCTTTATTTGATACCTACCATATGAACCGATTAAGAATTTGGACTTGTCACCATGAGCAGTTGGGTTGTGGCTTGGGTATGGCTGTCACTTCAGCAGGGATTGCCTCACCAGCTCCACCAATGGCCCTATAGAGACAATGAACAACATGAGCCTTCTGGGACGTTAGCTGAGGAGCGTCTGGAGATGGAAGGACGGTTGCTGGGAAGAACCCTTCAGGTTCAGTCGACGAGGGGATATCCAACCATTTCAAGGCATTTCCATTCACTGCCCCCTTTTCTTGGAAGAGTGGTTTCAAATGCCACTGAGCAGTACAATGAGTATGGATGTATTTGTCCCTCCTCTATGGCATTCAGGTACCAGAGCAACAAGTGGTGTCACTGTACCATGCCCTGGTGAGAACCCTGACTGACAGGGAGCCAGGCAGCTGCCGGGTGGCACTGGAGATTGGTTTTGGCTTGCTTAGAAAAGGGAGGATGGCTCTTAGCTAGCACTTTGCATTGTGGCTCTTTAGTGCTTTACAAAGGAGGGTACATATCAACATCTGCATTTGACCATTGTGGTTAGCTGAGGCACAGAGAGGCGATGTGATTTTTGCCTGGGGCTATGCAGCAGAGTTGGGAGGAGAACTCAGATTTTCTAACTTCTGGCTCAATTTTCTATCCAGCATAAACCAGGCTTCCTCATTGGACAGTGATTTTCGAGGTCACTAACATCAGGGGATGGTGTTTTGAGTATGGGTTAGGCTAGTGAGTGGACCAGTGGACATGGGCGATTTGGTCTCTAAAATAAAGTGATCATTCAGTTGCGGAGAGACAAGTGCCACCACTCAGCCTACGGTGTGTCCCCTGGCCCACAACAAAACCACTAGCCCTTAGGGGAGTGTAAGGCAGCCTCTGGCAAGGAGACAGAGCAGAGTCATAACTCCTCAACGCCCTGGCCTTAGTGCACCTACCCCTCTGCCAGTTCCATGTGGGACAAAACCCGCAACTGATGAGACAATACAGTAGAAATACCAGGATCCTTTTCTGTCCCCTACATGGTTTTTCCCCACTTAACAGACATTCTAGCTTTTAGAGTTTGTAAAGCACTTTGAAGCTGAAAAACGCTCCTTGCTCCTGTTCCCTTCAAAGGGAATAGGGGCATGCTTAACCATTAGATATGTTGTAGCTGGAAACCTAAATTCAAAAGTGCTGTGGCAGTGCAGGAGAACCAGACAGAAAAAATTACTATCGAGAGAGTGAAACTGACACATCTACTCAAATCACCCAAGCTGGGTAAAACAAGCAGCACAGATGTACACTATATTTTACAAATAATTTGACTTTTGATTCTCTATGATGTTATTGGTAACACAGGTAAGATACTTTTTAAATACACGAGTCCAAATTCTTTTCTTAGTTATGACTGGCTTCATTGGAGTTACTTATGTCTGAGTGCAGAATTTGTCCCAGGATTTTTAGCTTGACAGACAGACTGTCCCTTTTAAAATTTTGCATCATGGTCAAAAAGATTAAAGGGGCAATGTCATCTTGAGAATCATGTTTCTGTCTGGTAATTTCCCTGTGATTATTATGAAGAATATCTAAAATCTGAAAGAGGCTTAGAAAAAAGTATATTTTCCTCTATTGCCCCCTCTTTTCCCCTCCCCTGCTTTACTTTGTGCATTTGACAACTCTGTGTTTGTCAGTTTCTTTGTTTTGCTGATAGTCCATTTCAATTCCTATCTCACACAATGGCAACTTGAAGTTGTTCCTGTCAGCCCTCCTACCCCCCATTTTCCCTTGCTGTAAAGACCCTTAGAAATATCAGCAGGAGAGCAGAAAACCAGTGGTACAAATATATTTTAAGAAAGGAATTTACAATATAAAATTCAGGACATATTGTACCATATAAAGGGTGTTGTATTAGAAGTTGTTTTTTTTTTTAATGAGTCAGTATCACAATACGAAGATTGCTGTATTAAACCCTATCAATGTGAGTTTGGGGTCCTGATACTGCAAAGGCTCATGCTTAAATATACACACTCTTAGTGAGTCAGTAAGACTATTCACAATGTGTAAAGTTAAGCATATTCATGTGTCTTTGCAGGATCAGGGCTTCTGTTTCTTCAGTGAGAAAGCATCTCAAGTACCTCTAAGTGAAACTTGGTGGAAACATTATGCATATTTTTAAAAATAGTTACTAAATAATTGCTAACAACACATCTAAAAATTTGACTACTCACAGGCGTATATTTTCAAACATGTCTTCTGATTTTTGGGATCCTCAGTTATGCTGTGCCCATTTTAAGACAGATTGAGGCACTCAAAATCAATGGACATTTCTGACAACACAGGCCATAGCGACGCAAGCAAAATGCGATCCCATTGGGCACATAGCCTGCATTCATACTACACTGTTCTCACTTTAGGTGGAACTGATTGCTTTAACCTTATATAATTATGATAATAGTTGGCATTTCTAGAACATTTTCCATCTGGGTCTGTCAAAGTGCTTTACAAACAAGTGGGTTTGCCTCAGTAAAGATCTGAATTAGGCTGCACGAGATTCCTTTTGAGGTAGTTGTTGTTATCCCCATCTTCAAGGTAGGAAGCTGAAGCACAGAGAGGTCAAATAGCTTGTCCAAGGTCACACAGTGAGACAGTGGCAGACTAGGGAAAAGAACCCAGACCTCCAGACTTCCAGCCTTGTGATTTAATCACTGGACGATGCTTCCTTTGGATTTGTGAATTCCATGCAGAATCCTGCTGTAAAGAAGTTAGAAACTAGCTCTGCATGTATGTGTGTGTGTATGTAACAGGAAGCCCTGATTCTGCAAACACACATATGCTTAACGTTGGTACCGTGAACAGACTGGGGCCGTGGGTTGCATACACATGTTCAGCACTACGTGTTCTGATTCACATCTTCTCACTTGACAATGAAATCTGATCTATTTTAATAGGTCACAAACTTTTTTTTCTTTTTAAGTAAAGTGTCCCCCTCCTCATCCAATTATTTCCTTCAGGCCAGTAAAATTCTTTGTTAAAGGAGAGAATAGAAAGGGTGATGCTGGGAAGAGCAGAAAGCCCTCATCCACGTCTCCGCCCTCATTTTGGGGGGGGTCTGATCTTGCAGCCGCAAGCAAAACTGGCACTGTAGCAGATGGAGATTTTGACTGAGAACAGACTCCAGCAATAGGCCTTTGGGGAGTAATTTTAAAGCGATGATGATGATGACGTGTTGTTTCTATTTCATTAGCCGTCAGAATCTGGACCCATTGTGCTAGGTGCTGCATGAACTGATACGAAGATAGGACACTTGCTTTGGAAGATCTTACATACAGTAAGCTATTTATAAATCTTATTTCTCATTTGTGTGTGGACTATCCCCTTCTTTTAAAATGGCTCAAACTGGACACCCTTGCATTTTTTGGGGGGGGGGGTGTCACTCTGATTAGCAAAGGCTCCAAGACAGGTTGCTTTAGCTACAAGGTTGTTCTTATTTATTGTAGACTCCAAGACGATGAGCAGCTGCTCCTCCTGTATCCCCCCCCCCCCTTTGCTGGCAGCTGGGCTCCCTGGCATAGATGGACCATGCTACAGCCGAGCGAGGTTAGCAGCCTTCTCTCCAGCCCTGCGAAGAGGCAGCTGAAGGATCCAGGTCACGGTCAAAGAGTGTGTGAGCAGTTTGGGGAGGGGGGGAAGAGGGGCAGTGCTGAGACTGATGACGTCCTCCGAATGGGTTACATTACGTTCTAGAACTCCGCCCCACGTGCGTTCGGGGGAGGGAGGGAAGAGAAGGAGGAGGGAGCAGGAGATGGAGGGAGGAGAGGATGGTAGATGGGGGGGAGGGAAGGAGCTGAGCTAAGCTGATCCCACGTGTGACGGATCTGGCTGCTTCCCCGGCTCCTCTCTCCAGTAATATTCTCTGGTAGGAGAAGAAAAAAAAAAGGGGGGGGGGGGGGGGTGGGGGTTTCTTCAGGGGCT